TCCTTGCCCTGTAGGCTAGCATCCCGAACCGAGACAGACTTACGGATTCCTTCGACATTCAATTCACGACTTGTAAAACTGTTCAGCCTAATTTTCGCCTTCAACTATGGTCCGAATTCTATATAGTTAACGTTCACAAAAAGGCTTCTTATTTGAACAAGACAAGTACAGTGATATTGCTTGAACCAGCTGCCTTATTAACGTTTCCTGTCTGTTATTAACACCAGAATTTCAAATTACATTATTGATGAGACCCAATGTGGTTCCAGTAATTAGTACCACGATAGTCTGGACAATGTGTTAATCTCCAAACTGAAAATTTATTAAAAAGAAAGCCAGAAAAGGGATTTATTTTTGTAGTTTATCGAATTTATCAAAGCTTTTGATACTGTACCAAGAGAGAGAGAGAGGGGGGGGGGGTATTTTTTAAGACTTTTGCATAATAATATAAATCGTAACCAGCGGCTGCCAGGCAGGATACGCCCACATTTTCGAGAGATGGATAGAGAATTCGATCTGCGCAAATATCGAAAGGAACCGAGATCTTTGGGTTATAAACTTACATTTCAAGTTTCAACAAAATAGGATAAAAATTGTGACCTCTATAGGGTCCACAACCTTGATATACGATATTTTTTACGCTATTTGAGAACGAGGGGCAGCCATTTTATCTGTCAGTTTTGGGGCGATTTTCACGAAATTCGAACTCAGCCGTCCTTAGGGTGTAACGGTGATATAATAATACGGTTTTTTTTTTAAATCGGATAAAAATTATGACCTCTAAAGGGTTTACAAGCTAAATACGCGATTTTTCGTACAATCAGGGGCCATAATTCAGGAAGTTACGGTCCGATATGCGCGAATATCGAAAGGAACCGAGATGTTTGGGTTATAAACTTACATTTCAAGTTTCAACAAAATCGGATAAAAATGTGACCTCTATAGAATCCACAACCTTGATATACCATATTTTTACGCTATTTGAGAACGAAGGGCGGCCATTTTGTCTGTCAGTTTTGGGCCGATTTTCACGAAATTCGAACTCAGTCGTCCTTAGGGTATAACGGTGATATAATAATACTTTTTCCTTAATCGGATAAAAATTATGACCTCTATAGGGTCCACAAGCTAAAAACGCGATTTTGCGTACAATCAGGGGCCATAATTCAGGAAGCTACGGTCAGATATGCGCGAATCTCGAAAGGAACCGAACTCTTTGGGTTATAAACTTACATTTCAAGTTTCAACAAAATCGGATAAAAATTGTGACCTATAATAGGGTCCACAACCTTGATATACCATATTTTTACGCTATTTGAGAACGAAGGGCGGCCGTTTTGTCTGTCAGTTTTGGGCCCATTTTCACGAAATTCGCGCTCAGTCGTCCTTAGGGTGTAACGGTGATATAATAATACGTTTTTTTTTTTAAATCGGATAAAAATTATGACCTCTATAGGTTCCACAAGCTAAAAACACGATTTTTCGTACAATCAGGGGCCATAACTCAGGAAGTTACGTTCCGATATGCACGAATATCGAAAGGAACCGAGATCTTTGGGTTATAAGCATACATTTCAAGTTTAAACATATATTATATATTATCTACTTATTATTATTATATTATTGTATGTTTATTCTTCCATGACGTCACGTTATTGTTATTGTATGTCTTGACAAGCTCAGGCGAAACATGTAGACAATTAAACAATAGTATATACTTTCTTTAGGCATTTTTTACCTTTATTTATATATATATATATCTCCAGAAATATTAGCACAACCGTAAAGCTGCACTACTTTGTTTCACGGTAAACGATGAAAAGATAAACAGTATGCCGACAAAAACTGATTTCAACACTGGTTTAATAACATTTTAAAGTACTTTTCTTCCGTCTTGGGACTATTCATAAATAATGTCATTGTATAAGATGGACAGTATAGTATATTTATACATATTTACATAGTAACACTGTGGTTTTAATAGGCTATAGTTACCACTGTCTATGGTTACATAGTATATCGTTAACTAATAGAAAACATGTACACATGTAGTATATGGGTTCAATTTAAGAACAATGAGTGTATATATAATCCGTGTGCCGTTCTGTACACCAAGACTACAATGTTAAATATAGCCATTCTTCTTCTTTGTTTCCTGGAAGCATAGTGAAGATATAACTGCGTACAGATCTAAATACATGATACAGAGACGGCCTTGAATCGCGGATTCTAATAGTGACCAGTTAACTTCAACATCGTCTCGAATCAGGTCCCTCTCTATTGAGCATTACTACTTTGTTGATGATTCACAGCTCTTCGATTCATCTATTTATGGAATAAATCAGACAGAATACAACATAAAATACAAAGGAACATACGGATGCATTTTAATAAGATGGTCTCAATTGAAAGTATCATTCCTACGAAAATAAGCAAAGTCTCCCCTATCCATTTATAAATGCCTAATTAATTATGTATGTAACGTTTGTAATTTCTGATCAGTTATGTACGGCGAAATACGTCCAGAGTCCAACTTGAATGGCAGTCTTTGGCGTCTAGTTATTTCAGTCTACACCTGTAGTATTCTCCTGTTGCGTATGTTTAGCCTCGTTTATCGAGTCGCTTCATTACAAGCATTCTGGCATGTTGTTCGTGTGCCAATTTTAAAATGTTCATTTTGTCATAAACATTGGATATCAAAAGCCCATCGGTAAGATAACAAGATCAATGTTGATTTAAACAGACCAATACGTTGTGTTTGCAATTTCGAAGACTTGATGATATTAAGTTAATTAGCGACTTGCCTTCTTTAATACCGTTGTTTATTGACATAAAAAGTAGGCTCAGTCAAGGAGCCACAATGACACTGGGAAAAAAGTCAAGTTACGGACGATTACACTTGATGATCTTGATAGTCGCATAAAAACATTCGGTATTGGGGAGGATTTCGATTATGTTGAGAAACGTGCCTGCAACCAAACTGGTAGCAGCTGCTCTCAGATAGGCCCTCAACGTTCGTTCGATTGTCGTGGTACAAATTGTGAGTTGTCTTACGGTGAAAAATAACTGGTGACTAGTCGATGTTTTACAATAGTGATATCGCATACAATGTGATTATCCTGCCTTGCAAGAACAGTATTTTAGGTTGCTCAACAAGTCGCACGATTCGTCAAAATCATTTATAGTCGCCCAGAAGTCCATTTGCACTACCAGTTAACAACTGTCTCACGCAGCTGTCATGAACAATCCTTGACAATTATAGTCTTGAGAGGTCAAGAAACACACGATTTGTGGAAGGGAGGGAGAGGGAGAAATGGGGTTAACGTCCACTCGACACAAACTACGTAATTTCGGGAGTAACATATGGTTGAAATGTATTTCAACAATTCGCTTGCGAGTAGGGGTCTAGCAGTGGGAAGAAACAAGAGCGCCCGGAGAAACCCACGAGGATGGACAGGCGACCCTATTCTTTGTCACGTACAATCGGGGAATCACAATCACGCCAGCTGACTCAATGACAGACCTTATGATACAGCGCTAACCATTCGGCCATCTACGCCCCCGATTAGTGGAAGAACTTTATTACGATTTCCAGTCGCAAGCTGGTAAAAGCTGTCTTATCCGAAAGTGAGACTGAACTACCACCGCCCTAGACCGCACGAACGTAGCTGGGATATAAACTTTTAACAAATTTCGACACGAAGGGCGTTTACATTTCAACCTATTCTTAACGAAATCGACCTGAATGTGCATACTCCGAGAGTTATGAAAAGTTAAGTGTAATTAAATATTTTCAATATGATTCAATATTTCAGTGTTTCGCCTTGTTGCATTAAAATTCAAACATAATATATACAATGTACTGTAGACAAAACACGTCACAAATTACCCATCGCTAAAACGTCGCATCTAATCTTTGAATCCGTTTTCTTCATGTTTATTTCACGATTATGGCAAACTTTATACTTAAAAGAATGTAACAAATTGTCTGTTTAATAGCCAGCATAAGAGTAAAAGTATACGTTATCAATCAATGTGGGACAATTTCAAGGTCGATAAGAGTGAATGAACGTTTAAGATCTTTTAGAAATATGGCTATCAAAATTTGAACTGAATATGTGCCTTTCTAACATAAACTAAAAGGTGTTGCGCTGTCTATTCATTGTTTGGTCATGTGTAATTCCGACGTTATTGGTTATACATGTTTGTGTTTCTTTAACAACATTTTTGTCATATGGGGATATACCAATACAATATTCATAAACAAAACGATGAACGGCCGCCTTCTTAGTAGTTTAAGGGCACGAGCGACATTGCGATTTATAGTCCTTGGTCCACAAACCAAAGATAAAATATATTATGAGAACATGACATCTGTTACTATTAAATATATAAGAACTCGAGATCATATAGATAGAAGAACAGGGTAAGTAATATGAAACAGGCAAATTACGGGCAATAATAGACTTATATTATTAGGCATTGTGCTTTGGATTACCATTTAATGCTCGTCCTAAATTGTTCTAGTTTGGCAATTTGTATGTTTCAGTAACGTCACAGTCGGTAGTGTACGTTGTAATGTAATAAAGTAGTATTAGTGTCAGTACAACATTTACACACTGACTCTCTACATTTTGAAGAGATTTACTATAAAATACTGCTCACTGCATCGCGCAGACAGATCTAATAATATAGAACAGCTACGGACGTCCAAAATAATACATACAAAGACTTCGAGAAACTGTTGAATGAAGCCCTCATACATTTATTTATGAAAGATCAGATAATATCCAAACTGATATTAACAATAATGTCTTCTGGACTTCAGTGGGTGGTAAAATTGGTGCGCCAAACCCAACGAAGACATTTGCTACGTATACTGACAATACACGTGTGATCAGGTATTCTGAAAATAGTAAGCATATTCTGGCACACGATTATTCATATCCGTAATGTTTGTTTTTCAGCTCCAACAGACGTTTTAAAACTGGATTATGTTCTGGAATTGACTAATAATATTTTACAGATGGCAAGATATGTAACAGCGATATTTATTTGCGTGGCGATTGGGGTTGTTCAGTCAAAAGATGAATCAGGTGAGATTAACATCTAGAAAGTATCTGACAGCCGTATATCATAACATTTCATTCTGTTGATCCGCCCCTGCCCCGCGTGACTCACTGCTATTAAACATCACTTATCTTCCACTTCACGCCTTAACAACTGACGAAATGATCGCAGTACCAAACGAATGGCCCCAATTCCAAGTCAGTGACCTCAGCGCCGTCACACACATTTAATAACCTCAACACACAACGGGTAACCTTAATCACGTTCATTGACGTCCTCTACTTCCATTCATCTCAGTACCCTTTTAGTGCCCAACAAATTACTTGGACAGCATTCACCCGGTGCTTAATGTCTTCGATTCAATGAACCGAGTACCCATCAACCAACCCAATCCACTGAGAGCTTAATCAATCTACCTCTGTTGTTTTATTGTAGTTATATTATGGAAGAACAATGACTTTCCTGTAGATAACCCACTGAAGTTTTTCAACCCAGCGACACCCGGACTATTTACCAACGGTTCTCTATCCTGTGTCAAAGATCCAGCGGGGTCTGGTCAAAACGTTATCAGAGTATTTTACAAGAATGGAACGTACTCCCAGGATCACTATTCCAAAGGTCTCCAGTTCTATAGCGAACCCACGCAACCACAATTAGCTCTTACATTAACCTACGATATTTATTTTGAGCCGAACTTTGATTTTGCGATGGGTGGAAAGCTACCAGGGATGTTTGGGGGTGGTTTGGGGATCTGTTCGGGAGGTCGTCACTCTAATACGTGTTTCAGTGCTCGATTAATGTGGAGAGCAGATGGTTATGGAGAGATTTACACGTACATCCCAGATCAAGGCCAAGGATTCTGTGATCGCGTCGATGTAATTTGCTTTCCCTTGAAAGGCACGTCTTTGGGTAGAGGAATGTTTCGATACCCTCGTGGAGTTTGGACTACCGTAACAGAGCATGTCCATTTGAATACTGTCGGTTTCCATGATGGCTTTGCTAAAATCTGGCTAAATGGGAGTCTAGCTTATATTGCTGAAGACATTATGTGGAGGGTCACTGATGAATTAGAAATCAATGGTCTGTTCTTCTCGACATTTTTTGGAGGAGGTGAACCTATATGGGCTGCCAGGAAAGACAATTATTCTTATTTCAAAAATTTTACGTTTTCCCTGGGAGCTGAACCACCATTATATTAAGAAATAAATTTATACTAATGTTCGTGATATTTTGTCTAAACTGTCGCTTTTTTCATCTAATATACAGTATAATATTAGTTTTCTGTTTGGCTTGATGTCCTTGATTACATGTTTTTGATATTTCTTCTAAACTGTCGCTTTTGCATCTAATATGCAGTATAATGTTTGTTTTCTATTCAGGGGACATGTTTAGCTTGCTGTCTGTGATTACATGATGCTAAAACCACATGCCTGGTTGGTTATACGTAATAATTTAAATGAGCTCGAACACAATTAACGCACGTTGATAAAAGTTTAAATTTTTCTTTTTTGGCCTAGTAATCGTTAACATAAGTACTATTTTTTGGAACCGAACAGGCTGTTACAGTAGTCTTGGCAATGATGGATAAGACACATACCAGTGTTTCCACAGTTTAAATCTATCATATATTGTAAGATGCAATGTATAATATAACTGCCCGTCTACACAGAGGAACTATAAAATTTGTTGATAAATGAAGGTCGTATATATAATAGATTATGATATGATATGATTAGAGAGGGACACAGCAAATCCCTAGAGTTATCTCCCTCATTTCTGTCACCTTAATCATTTAATTAAAAAAAAGGTTCCCAAACAAGTTTTCAGTAGCATTTGTAAATATAGAATTGAAAATTGTAATTTAAAATCTTGAGTTAAAGTGTCGATCTCACTCCGGGTGTAACTAAATACAATTTCCCAATCTTCATTCTGGTCAACAAATTGTGCTTTATATTTCATCTTAACAAACCTATTTAAAAAATGGAAAAATTCAGTTAGACCGGCGGTGGTCTCACAATTTCACAATCAATGAGACTGGTAACGTGGCTAAGTGGGTAAGACGCTGGCTCGCTAGCCTGGGGGTCGGGTGTTCGATTCCTGCATTGGCCGAGAAAGTTCATCCAGATTTTCCGGCGTGGTTCCCCCTTGTCAGTGATGCAGGACGGAGGGCCTGACAAGAACAGCTGTCTAGTCGTTCGATTGGTACGAAAAACCGAATCCCCATGTCCACATTGGCGTGCACGTAAATGATCCCTTGACAATTGGAATTCGATATAAGAGTAGGCCGTAATGTCCCTCATAGCACACTGTATGGCGTATGCCCGTCTACATTAGCCCAACATAGGAGCAGAACAGTAGGACGTTCAACCCCATTTCATTTCATTTCATTGTCGTGCATGCGTACAACGCGAACTATACTATCCTTTTTCAGGGTGGCGTCCAAGGTAAAATTTCATCTAAAGGAATTGTTCCGGGTACTAAAATGGGGTTTGTGCACAGTCTGGTCCGTGTTGCCATCAGTGCTGTGATCTGCCGAGGCTAAGGTTTGTAGATTTGACTGGCATCGGGTCCCAGTGTGTGCGTGTGAGATAGCTTTATTTAACGTCCGCTTCCACCGGGGTGATATCGCAGACAATTACATTTTACATATACATAGTGTGATTATTTACAATGTGATTAGCGGAAAAGGGATTAAATGGATAATTAAATATTTATATCTACAGAAAAGAAATGACGGGGCGAGACATTTATATATTTATAAAAGTCGGCCTGGTCCGGTTGAATGGCAGGGTGGTGCAAATCCTCCGTGGGGCTTGTTGGTGAGTGTAGGGTCTGGTCCATTCTTACTTCTTACTGTCCGGTATGGTGGTAGTTTGTTATTGGTTCTCGGAGGGAAGAATCCAGCACCTGCAAGAAAGGAGAGAGAAAAAAGAGAATATCTGGTCTTAAAGGGTTTTGGTTTCGTCTAATATGGCTTCTGGGGAGGGAGGGGGGGGGGCAATCTAGATGTATGTTCGTACGGTTGATCGTATATATATATATATATATATATATATATATAAATTGGACAATAATCTTTATTTTAAACTGCATATGCAATTACAATACACCATTTAAAGTGTAATCTATCATAATTTAAGAATAATATATATAATACAGTATGATAAAAGATACGCAAGGTGGTTTGCGTTACCCTCTCGGGTCATTTTTGTGCTCCACCCTGCTTAGGTCTTTGTATGCGATTATCATACCTATACAGTCTCAATGAAATCCCAGATAAGCTGAGCGGTCCAATACCTATCGTATGTGGGTGGGGAAAGGAGATAATTGAGACAAAATGTTTTACCTCTCCCTATCGGGGGGGGGGGGGTGGGTGGCTGAATGGTTAGCACGTGCGCGCTGTACCATAAAGTCTGTCATTGAGTCAACTAGAGTGGTTTCGATTTCTTGGTTGTACGTGACAAGGAGTAGAGTCGCCTGTCCAACCTCGTGGGTTTTCTCCGGGTCCTCCGGTTTTCTCCCACTGCTAAAGACCCCTACGCGCAAGCGAATTATTAAAATAAAATTAAACCATGTTAGTCCCGAAATGACCTAGTTTGTGTCGAATGGACGTTAAACCCCATTTCTCTCTCCCTCTCCTTATCAGTTTGTCAATCATTAATTGACGTTCGTTCTTTAACTGATTACAATCGATTAGTAGGTGTGAATTCTTAACTACACCGTACAATGTAGCATTACAAGGAAGAAAGGCCTTGTTTTCAGTTAAAACTTGTAGGGATAATTATTTTAATGTTAAAACTTCATTGTACGCCTTTGATACTTATGTTGGTAGTATACTAAATTATGGTGCTGAAATCTGGGGGTTTTCACAAAGCACCTGATATTGATAAACTACATTTTTATTATCTAAATTTAATGTTAGGTGTTAAACAATCCACGAATCATGACATGCTAGTATTTGAATTGGCTAGATATCCTTTACGTATCTCAAGGAAAATTAAAATTTTTAAATATTGTATTAAACTTTTTTTCTACGGAAAATGACTTACTTAGATGTTGTTTAACTGACATGTTCAATAATAATGATAACTGGATTTGTAACCTTAAAAAGGAATTAGATTGTTTAGGATTGGGGTATAGGTGGCAAAATGTTGACAAACATTCAGTGTTCATCTTTAAACAGAGAATATTTGATATCTTTAAACAATTTTGTTATGGCAATATTTACCAGTCTCCTAAACGAATCTATTATCAACATGTTGTTTCAAATTTTACACTTCAACCCTATCTTTTAAAACCTATAAAGCCTATATTATTAAAACATTTAACTCGTATAGGCTTATCAGCCCATAAATTATATATAGAAACTGGTCGATATACTAAAGTGTCACGTGATCAACAATTATGTATTTTTTATCGGCTTGTGGAACTGGAAGATGAATTTCACCATGTCTTAATTTTCCCGCCATTTGAGGATACACGCATTAAGTTTATCAAGCCGTATTATTACACTAGACCTGACGTTTGTAAATTCTTTCAGTTATCGAGTACCAGTAATATAAAATACTTGTATAAACTAGGTAAATATTTGTCATATGCCGATAAGCGTCGATCAGAATTGTTAACAAGCCAACAGTGAGGCTGATGTCCCCCGCCGAAATTGCAAAATAAATAGATGACACATATTAATTAATCGCACATTTATTTTTTTCACTAAGTTTCATCACTCTCTATCAGATAGAATCAAGATTATCTTGTCCCAAACCATCGACAAATGAAATCGATTAGCTCTGCTTAGCTTCAGCTTGAAATGTTAATCACTGAACTCAGTCAAGACATTCACCTAATGAACATCTACATCAAGTTTAAACATTCACCTAATAGACACCTACGCCAAGTTTGAACATTCTACCTCAAATAGAAGGAGAGTTATTGTGTTCGAAAGACTCGAGCAATGAAATTGATTATCACTCTGATTACCCTCAGCAAAAAATGTTCATTATCGAACTTAGTCAAGGTATTGATATACTAAAGCTATACACCAAGTGCCCTCACTTTTATAACACTATAGTGTTATTTTAGGTCTGAGAAAAGTGTTCTGTTTAATATAGAAATCTTTACCTACATGGTCTGACGAAAACTAGGGTAATGAAGTAGCTTGCATTACTCTGCTACTATCTTAGACTAAGTCACAGACATTTATGTCAGGATCTATTTCTGGAAAGTAGGGTACTATCGTCCAGTCATCTCGTGCACGGATTAGTCCAATTAAATAAAATGATGTTGACGTTAAACGGTGCCTATATGAAACACTTACCCAAAAATGGTAATTGTCCCGCCATAATAGATGACGCATTACATTTTCTATATACGAAAGAGCGGGTTTGATTCACCCTCAGACAATCATTCGGAGATCAAGGGGAACATACCTACAGCCTCCTCGGCTTAGAGGCTAGGGTGAACACATCATCCTAGCGCGAACATTATGTAGAACTATCAAGAAGTATGTGGCTCTTGCCACGTTTAAGTCGTTAGGTTTGAGTTAGAAAGGATATTAACCTCAGACCGTGGATATTTTAATAACTCGAAAAGTACTATCATAACTTTGTAGTTTGCTGTATGTATTTAATTATATACACTTAGTAACAACATAACGGTGTTCCAGAGTCAGTTAATTGATGATTGAAATAATTGATCCAACAACGGGAAGTCCAAGCAAGGCCTCGGCGATAAGTCACAATCAGTACCCCGTAGTGCCGCAGTCCATCAAGGAATTCACGTTGACACCTACGCCAAGTGTGAACATTCTAACTCAATTAGAATGAGAGTTATTGTGTTCCAAAGTCACGACCAATCACATTGCTTGTCACCCTGCTTACCCTGAGCAGAAAATGCTCATTATCGAACTTCGTCAAGGTATTCGTAATGAAACTATACACCAAGTTTCATCACTCTCACTTAATTAGAACTAAAGTTATCGTGTCCCAAAGCATCAACCAATCTAATTGCTAACCCTAAGCAGAAAATGCTCATCTTCGAACTCCACCAAGGCATTGACCTAATAAACACCTACACCAAGTTTGAACATTCTAGCTCAATTAGAAAGAGAGTTATTGTTGCTCAAAAAGTCAGACAGACAGACGGACGAACCAACCCATTTTAATAGTCCCCTGCTTTCTTCGTTTTACATAACGTTACG